GCTTCGAACCAAAAATAAATGCACAAATGACAAATGATGTAAACTCTACCTTTAAGCTTTAGATTTGGAAGGGTAAAAACAAGAGCAGGGTTGGCTAGTCCAGCAGGATCCCATAGTTTCAGTTGGGGGGTGTTTGTACTAATTGAATCAATGACTCAAAGAGCCAGTGACTCCCCCATGGGGCCCCAGTCACTCAGTCGCTCAGTCACTCATTTAGTGGCTCAGTCAGAGGACAATGCTGCCACCATTTCAGTCATGTTCCCTGTATCCAATAGCAGCACTGAATGATAATGTTTTTGTGCAAAAAGAAACCAGACTTTTTTTCCTTCCAGCCTCGCTTTGGTTACGTTGATTTGAATGGGAAAAAAATCAATATGGTCACAACATGATAATGGTCTATAGGCTGGCCTCTAGGTCCGGCATGCAAAGATGAGACATTTGCAGACTTGGACAAGTCTAAATTCTGTTTGGCATTCTGGATGACTTAAATTTGACCTGATGGTAATAAAGTCACGCTGGATGTAAATCCAGGTCTAGGAGGATGCTCTCTGTCTCATATTGCAGAGATTATCTGACTGAAGCACCAATAAATTGGTAGCATTAGGTTTTCTTGTTGTTTAATTCTGTACTCCTCACGCAAGGGTCGTGCTGTATAGGATGGATGGCTTAACGCACATGACAGCGGTACATGACATGTACATGTATGGAAACCATTAGGGTATTGTGGATTGCGAGTGTGTTTTCATGAATGATTAAACCATATTTGTTATGTTTGTGTAAACAATTGACTTTCCTGCATAATTTGGCTGGCATAGGCCCTATATGATTTGTGCAATCCCGAACATGTGTTTTTGTTGACAAATTCATCCGTGAATTTATTGACTTTTAAAGATTTGAGTTTTTGTGTTGTAAAAATTTAATGCAACCGTTTTATGATAAAATGTTATGTTAAGGAATTTTGTTATAAAATTGTTTTCGCTTGATTAATTGATAAGTACATAGGATATGTTCTTCAAGTAAAACCTGAAAGTTGGCTTTTTTTCAATTTTACAGAAAATTATAAATTTAAATGCTTTTTTGTTTCAAGACCATAAGTCAGAATAAAGTGTCTTTGCTTCCACTTTTCCAAAAATTACTACAACTGACTTTTTTCCAAGACTACTCAACACTGTATTAGCCAGAAAATAAATTGCACAATGACAAATTTCAAACTTCATCGTTTAAATTAATTCTACCATAGGAGAAAAATCTCTACCCGAAAAAGCCACTGAGACATTTATAAATGTTGCCATGGAAACCTACATGTAATCAAATTAAATAAATTTAATTAAATTGGAGGAAAACATCAAAAGTCTTAATGTTTATAGTCAATGAGGTACATGTAAAGGCATGCCCTGTATTGCACATGTACGGTACATCAGATGGTAGTTTGAATTTCATTAAATTAAAAGGTTCGGCAAAAGGGGGAAAACTGGCCATGCACGTTGCTTGAGAAACAAATAAATGGTGAATGAAAATTACAGACTCAAAGGCGATGTATATATGTAAAAAAAAAATAAACCTTTTTCTTGTCCCCACCCACTTCCTTTTTTCGGGGCTGCTTCATTCTTTTTATATAATTTTTTTTTGTTAATTCATGCATTTGCAATGTATTTGCACGTGTACATCCCGGTACGTGTACATTATTGTCAATATATTGTCTTTTTATTTGTTTCCAAAATAATTGTAGCTAGATGTAGAAAGGGTTAAATTTGCTCCTTTGGATACCATTTTTTTAACAGCAGAATAATAGAGAAAATTGAAATTGAACTTGGAAAATCAGCCATCTTGGGGGAAAACACACCCGCCTCCCTTCATTTTTTCCAAAAAGGCTTGAGGAGAATGACGAGAAACTACCTGAATTTTTACTCAGTCATAATGAATAATATTTGTTTCCTTCTGTGCAACAGGATACATTTTGTTGATTAATGGAAACTACATGTATAAAAGTATTCCGCAAATAGTGGGAACGAGGCTCAATTTGTGTTTACCAAAATCTCACCATGGAGGTACATGTACATGTAGAATTCTACCTTCTTGATCTCACTCAGTATATGTACATGCTTTGGACATCAAATAAAATTGGCCCTTTTATCTTTTAACTGGCCCCCTCAAAATTAACCCATTGTGTTTCATCAGTCTGCTACAAACTACATGTCGCACTTAAAAATGGCTGATTGTTAAGATCGTTTCCCACCAGTCATTGGTTGGTGCAATGGTTCTTTCCTCCTATGTTATTACATTGAACATTGGATTAGGGCCTTAATGCTTGGTTTCAATTGTGTGCATTGATTGTCCTGAGCTAAGCCAATTATCAGAGTGCACAACCATGACAACACAAGCAATTGAACAGTGGGCATTGTGGATTATGGTTGGATGTAAATTGAGTGTTTATTTAATAACCTTGGCTTCATCCATCTGGCATGTCTGGTCATAGACAGAATAATTTGCATGTTACTGTATACAGCTACATGTACATTGAAAGCAATTGGAGAATCTGTGTAAACCAGTCCATTGCATACTGGACACCATAGGGGTTTTCCCAAGGCATATATTCTAATGGCATACTGCAAATAACAGATTAAATAGCCTGGTTGAAAAGAGGGGAAAGATGGATGAAGGAAGCGTTCACCGTCCAAACAGAATACCGTAGCTGTGTCTGGTGGGAATTAAAGGTTCTCAGGCTCAAAAATATTTGCGTGTTTGCTTTTAGCTTGCCGTGCGAAAAGCAGAAAATGTGATTACTGGATGGCATTGCAATCCTGTGGTTGTCAACACAAAAGGGGAATTTTGTTTGTTCTAGCAAGTGGTCGTGGTACTCAAATTGAGGAATTACATTTATCCAAGATCAATATTGTCTCTGGACAGATCTGGACAGGGTCAGTGAGTGAAATCATGAGCCAAGTGTTGAGGTACTGGTGCATGTTCATGTACGTGTTCTACATAGCCCCCGAGGACCGACACACAAAGGGAGAACAACAGATCCTTTCAGTCCTGGGGCGTTGGGTCTTTTGTTCAAAACGGTCCTCTGTAGGTTTGTGTGCACGCTTAGTCTATGGGAGAGTGTTACATGTATATTACAGGGACAACGGGAAACACAAAGCATTGTCCTCGGGGGTATAGTAAAACAAGAGTGTACATGTTCATGTACTTGTACCGGGTATGACCATGAATTGAACCTGTGAAAGGTGATGCAGATGTGTGGCGGATCGGAGTGTACGTGTTATAAAAAGCAAAGAAGTGTACAGCTATCGGCGATAGCAGGCTATTTCCATAATGAAAGTTTTTCAGACTCATTACCCATTGTCAGTACCTGTCCTGCCCTCACTGTATTACATGTATGGTACTAATTAGGAGCAAATTGTTGGTCTTGAATTTAGACTTCCATTGGGAAGGAGATTGAGCGTGATTGTGGATTTAAAAACCCTGCTTTCTCTATTGACATTGTAGGCTGCAGCTTAAGAATTTATAACTTTTTTGTTTGAACCAAATACAAAGAATTCATGAACATGCTGTAAGGATGTGATACTCCTAAGCAGAACATAGGGACCCATATATCACGTTACTGCAATTCCAACCAGAACGCTTTGGTACATTTACATAGCTCAATTGGGTAAAAATTGAACTATGTACAGTATGTACCATGCCGAAGGAAGAAAATGCTCGCTGAACCTTAACCCTTTTAAAAGAACAATTCTACCAAAATCCATCACTCGATCACCCTGCTTCAAAAAAAGGCATTAGTACCAAATCCCCTGAAATCGAAGACCACCACTACTACAGGTGGATTTTGATGGACTTCGTACAGATGGCTCACCTACCAAAATCCCCAAAAATGGGAAAATGGATTTTGGTGCATTTAGGGTTGTCGTTAGGGTTAATACATGCTACATTGGTGTATCAGATTTGATTGCTTTTGCTTTTTGAAGGGAAACAATCATGAATCCAGGTCACTTGCTTTTTGACTCACCATGTAGTTATTAAAATTACCGTAGGAAATGGTTTTCCCATTCCCTTCAGAAGTGGGATTTGGTTACACCGTAATGACATCGCCATAATGACATTTAGCTCACTTAATGACATTCAGCTCAGTAATGACATTTCCCCCTGCTCTTCAAGTTTCAGGTTATTTCAGGATACATTCAACATGCCTCAAATTTCTTTGCTGTGTTGAAATTTAAGAACTCTCCAGAAAAAACACAACAAAGCCAACAACATAATGGGAAAGCATTAGTCATCAACCCAGCGTACATGTGATATCCAGTGTTAAGACTCATGAAGTCTACTCTTTAATCCCTCAAAGTTCAATAACCCCCCCCCCATAACATTATTTTAGCCACTCCCCCATGTAGATACCGTACATGTAAAATGTAAATCTTTCCTCCTGAACATTTTTTTTTCAAATTCAAACAAATATGTTATTCATTGACTCTTTACCACACAAACCTTAGAAGTGGAGTACTGGTACATCATTTGCAGCTATCCAAAAAGTAACCGACAATATTATTGTTGAAAAGCATGCTAGATTTAAAGATAGCAATGGCACTAAACTCCCTGTGAAATTATTCTTTCTGGCATGCTGTCATTTTGAAGAAACAATAAAATGACAAATGATGTACTCAACCTGCTAGTCTACCGACTATCTGTCCAATGGTTACGGTGTTTGACTCATGTGCCGTTGTACATTTGTACGTGGGTTTGAACCCTGACGGGGAACATGGTGCTTGTGTTCTTAGGCAAGACACATTACTACAACATGCCTCTCTCCATGCATGAGTATAAACGGGTCCCTGTGAAGGTAGAGACCAGAATGCGCTGATCTTGAGCCGCTGCAAAAAAACTGGTCTCATGGCCTGATGAACAGGGGTAATATGTGTTAAAAGCACAGCATTATTATACTGCTTTGCACCTTACAAAAAATGTCTTGCTAATGAAAGCTTTGTTTTATCCTTTCTCCTCAGAATATCAAAGACTTCTCCAAAAGAACGGAATGTTTCAGCCTAAAAGGTAAAAGTCAAGCTTTGTTATAAATTAAATTTGTTATGATTTGTCCCGTAATTTAGTACTTTGTTGTTATTTTGACAATGAATAAAACTGCTGCAAACTGCTTACTGACTGGATTGACTCAAATTCAAAACATACAAATCAACAAAATTAGACGGCCTAACGTTGCAACCCTAACAGAATCTTTCTCAAAGGCAAAAATTAGAAAGATTTGAGTAAGTACTACAGATTCTGTTCGGATAGAGATGTTAGGCCTGTCTTTTTAGCCCATTACAGGGTAATCCTATACAATAGCACTGCCCAGGCTTAAGTGACGAGTGACAGTCAGTGCATGTAAGTCAGTCAGGTACAAAGAGGACTATAGGCTGGCCCTCTGGGACCAACAAAAAAAGGCACACAATGGTTACATGTACAAAATTGCATTTTTTGGCATTTCAAAATGGGCAATAAATACTACCTTTTTCAATGCCGTTTTTACAACAGTATTCTTTTTTTGGAACACTGTTGTTCTATAAACTGCAGTTAACAATTTTGTAACTCTTTTGCAATGGAAAATTCTTGAGGAACTGAGGCTAGAGAATGTTGTTGTGCACCATTGAATATTCAATAAACTACAAATGTATACATACTGGATGAACATCAGTTCAGTGAATGCAATATCCATTGACTTGTAATGTAGAGAATGTTCAGGACATTCTTGTATTTAGTTCAAGTTCAGTCCATACATACGTGTACATGTGTACAGTAGGAGGTACATGTACATGTACATACCGGTACAATGTACATACATAATGCAAAGAGCTTGAAATTAGACACAAAACGGTTCAGACAAATGAATTGAAGTCAAGTTCTGAGCTGTCATTTATAAGCAGTGACAAATTCTTCACCGGCTTACAAATTTCTGTTTTTGTTCAGATTATGGTAAATGGTCGGATATTGTCCGATGTCTGGCTGTAATTTCATCCTCAGCTGCGTCTGCATTTACATTTCTGTGCATTCTTGGTATAGGCCTATACATGTATATATGTACATGTTTACTGCACCCATTCTACACGCTCAGATTATAAATGCTAATATGTGCAAAGTAATGCCTAACCAAATTTATAGCCCATGGTTGTCCACATTGAGATGGATATTGTACATTTACACTTTATGTAAGCTGTACAATTTACCATAATGTGATGTCCCATGCCTAGAATCTATGTGCTCTACGTACATGTACCGGTACATGTATGAATACGAGTCACCATAAAAGAAATTAACATGGATGAAACTTGAGAAACATTAAGCATGTAAATCTTAGTCGTGAAATACATAAATAACAGAAGGATGTCGCTTGAAGGGACCCGGTACAAAGATCATTTGTATCTGTTCCCATAGCGAGCCTGGTTGTGTCACGATCTTAAATATTTATAGTGCTTAGCCCAGATATGTCAATCAATTAAGCATTGGTTGTCCCTGAAAATTTCAGTAAATATAATTTTTGGAGTCAATATACATGTACAGTAATATTTTAATAATAACACCCATTTTTTTTACTGTGGTAAGTGTACCGGTGCCTTTCTATGTGCGTGTATGTTAAATAGCTCATTTGGGTATTTTCAATATGAAAACGAAAGCTTTGACGCTCAATTCTTGAATGAATCCAATTATTTGGCTAAACGTGTTTCATTTTATTTAACCAAAAGTAATCATTTTTGGTTCAGAAACCTGGCTCGTGACATTGCATTGATCTACATGTCTTTGTATGTGTTTAGAATGCAATAGATTAATTGGCGTCGTTTAAAAGAGACAATTTAAAACACAAAACTGCAAATTTTGCATCAGTAGCACTTAGCAATGGAATCCACCTTCGAAACCTAAAAAAAATCCAAATATGTTTTCTCTGTTTTCTCAAAATGTCTACTGATAAAAATTAAACAGTTAATAGTTGAACCCTATACTTCAGATTTTAGGCAATTTTGTGGATTCAAATCCCAAAAATAATAAAAAGTAATCATTTCCACTGCACATTTTCCAAGCAAAATTGTTCAAATGTGCCTTACACTTTGTTACAGTATGAACAATAAAACTTTATTTAAAATTCAATTAAAAAACACTAAAACCTACAATAATCAAGTCACAATCTTAAAAAAGAATGGTACTTGAATACTACAGATAAAATACAAGTTATTCATTTAAAACCCATAAACTGTTAACTTCGAAAAGGAGCAAATCCCCATGCAATAAAGATACAAAAATGGTCCGATGTAGTGATGTACCGTTACATGCACCATTAATGCCACATTACCATGTCACTTATAACATTCAATTTCTTAAGGAATTTACATTTCACTAATTACGTGTAGTTTCTTTCAGACAAGTTACAAATGTGTATGTACTTGTTATGCACCCTACTTAAATTGCTAAAAGTCTCACTAATTTAAGATTTTTAGCAATTTTGTTGCTTTAATTAAACCAAAAATGGTCCAATGTACATGTGTACGTTCAGTGCCACATTGCCATTTGTTGCTCATCTCATTCAATACCTTAATGATTTGTTCTGTAAATATTCTTGAAATTTAATTGACATTTTAATCAATGACTTCCTTTCAGACAATTACATCCTTTCAGACGTGCTGCATTTTCTCTCATTAATTTTTCCTCATGTTGCTTTTCACAGGAGAGAAAGTAGACATCCGTGTAGTTGAAACACTGGAGGAAGTGTTCAAGCGTGTCCAATTCAACACAGTGGATATGGAAGCTTGCAGCCTGGATGATGAGGTAAAAAAAAAATTAAAAAAATCCTGACCATGCTTATTAAACAGCGTCCCATTGGGAGAAGATGTGATCACCATCTATATATGCGCATAGCTTACCCCCTCGTGAGACAGATGTTATTGGAGTTGCCCACTGAAGGAGATTAATTTTTGTAATTTGCCAAATCATTTTAATACATTACACTTCTCTTGGGATTGAGAACAAACAGTAGTTAAATCAGGGTTTGTTGCATATATATATGTATGCTTATTAAGGTACACCCACTGTTTCTAATGCAGCGAAACTGTGAATAAGTGCACGCAAGCATTGACACAACGCGCACGCAGTTGCTATAATTTGTCGATTCAGAGCTTGACATCGCATAGCTGCAATCGGCTACTGTATAATAAGAATGTGTCCCGGACGCTGATTTCGGGCACAATTCCAAATATGACTTGACAACTTTTGAATTGAAATCGAGGTCCTAGAATATTGTTTCCTCACTGAGCTAAAAGCTCATCAGGTTAGTTGTTCAGCACCCGTCTTTAGATTTTGAGCACTTTTGTTGCTTCAAATGGAAAAAAATGCACAAATGACAAATGATACACTCTGCCTTAAAAATTGGTCAAATATCCGCTACATTGTATTCCGTTACCTCTTCTTGATATGATTTTGATAAGCTCTTTTTCAATTATCAGGAAGTACAGACACACACAAAATATTAAAATATTCGATAAGTCCGAGTTAGAATAATCGAATACTCAATTATTCGGCAATGCACAGCTCTACAAGGCAGTGATCTTTAAAGACTCTGGATTGTATTTCGGCGGGCACAGCAGAGTGACTTTTAAAGGCGATGGAAAGCACACCTTTAAAAATCTCACCTTACTTGAAATTGGTGGAGATTTCAAAGATTTGCGGGAGTTGTTTTTGCCGCCGTATGTTACTTGACACGACAAACTAAATGCAGGAAGATTGTCCGTACATTGTACATGTAGATACCATGAGCAGTGGGTCGAGAGACTTTTAAGTGTCCTGCCTGCTTTAACAATATTTGTAAGCGGTTGTGGGTTGTTGGCTGTTGGCTAAAATTCCATCTTCGTTTTTGGTGGATTTGCCTGGTGGGCAGGTTTTCTGTTAAGAGGTCTACCGGTAACTGTCATCATGAAAATCATTGTAATCATTGTTATCATCATGCATACGTGTACACATACATGTACATACCGCCAGTAATACCTATACATGTTATCATTCTTTTCCCTGTAAAATTTGGGCCTTGAATCAAACAGAATTTTTTTTCTCAAGGGCCTTAGAAGTGAGAGAAACCATGTGATTTTATTTTGGACATGATGAAAAAAGCTTGTCTTTACATGGATCAGTTGTTGTTATGGTTTGTGTAACAGAGATGGAGGCGAGGTACATAAAAAAAACCACTTTTGATGTGGCCAGTAATTTACCAGTCTTGTTCTACTGTTGCATGTATTCACTCTCCCATACATCTACTTCAAGATTTTCAGATTATGTTCACAATCCTCACCATCATTTGCATTATCTGAAACACAATCACGGTTGCCATGGTTACCAGTGCAGTCCCATCGCAACAATTAAAAAAAAACATCCGGCCCATTATCTTAATCATCAGTCTCGACAACTTTCCGACCGATGTTTTTCCGGTCATGCACAAACCTCGTCGCCTCTCCTTATCCTACACTTCGATGTAATTGTCTCCATTTCCTCTTGTATATTCCTCCAACCGAGGCCGTCATCATGTGGGCTGACCATGCATTCAGCATCGGCAAGACACCTGCCCGGTAATTAAGTGCAAATTTCTGAGACAGGAAAATGGAGGCAGTTTTTTTCCCTGAAGGCCTTCTCAGCCAGCCATTTTCCCTTCTTCACTTGACTGATAGATAGTTAAGGGGTCTAGACAGTAAGCAAAATTTGTTTGGACAGTGGAAACTTCTCGACAGGCATGATCATTTTCGTTTTCCAATTATTTTCTCCTTTCCTTTCCGATTATTTCTCCCATTTTCAGCATTCTGTACTGTAGACATTACACTTTTGGGGCCTACAGGACACTATTTCCTATTTTTGTTCCGGAGGGTCAAGTATCATGCCTGTTGTAGAGCTAAAGCCAAAAAACTTGAGACTTATCAAAAAATTATCACAAAATATCCCTCGATAGCTATAAAAAAAAATTTGCTTTTTCTTTTGTCCTGTCCTGAAGGATTCCTTCTACTACAGTAAGTGTGTACATGTACCTATGCACAGTCTTGCACATGTTTATGTACGTGTTTACATATGTACCTTGTACATTTATGTGCCGGTACAGTGATGTTATTTGGAAATTTCCGTAGAAATCTGTTGTATAGTTTTCTTTATATTTTATTAACAACATTTTTTTCAAATCAAATACCGTACATGTGTATTTTAGTGCTGTAATTGGCACTCACTATCTGTTATTAGTGAAATTCATTTTAAGATTCATGACGGAAAAGACAATGTTGTGTACAGTTTGTTTATTTGTTGGCATACATTTTTGGCATAATTCATTCAGTCAATAAATAAAAAGCCAATCACAGAATCTTCACTGTTGAACCCAACACCATGCACCATGCATCTGTGTTTGAACATGATCACCCCCGATATGTACGCTCTGCCAGTGCAGAACGCTCTACCGGTAGATAATGTGTAGTGTAAAATCCAACACTGTCGACTGACCGTCCGTCGGTCTGGCAATTGAGCATATACTTACATCTCATTGCTTGCCTCTGCTACGACAGTCAGCGGGGAAAGTACAAGTACTCATTCTCCGAGGACCAACATTGCCCTCAGTGAAATGTCGAGATTATAACGGTGAGGTATTTGCCCTGCACCAAAGACCTCTTTGTAAACGATTGTCGCGATAGTTATCGGTGTGCTTGGCTGCCTTTAGAGACATGCTGTCTGCTTTGATGTAAATCTTTCCTTTTTTATGGCGGTAGGATACAGGGAAAGGGATGGGGAAAAGAGATCCATGGTCGATTTGGTGGAAGTACAAGTGAGGATGGGGAGCAAATCTTGTGGTAATACATTCGTGGTGTGGGTTGGAATGTTCTTGCTTGGCTGGCTTGCTGGAAGCTAAGAGGGCTGTTAGGCTGGCACGCCTGTTGGCTGGCTTGTTGGCTGGCTTGCTCCCCTGCTGCCCGACATGCTAGCTGGCATGCTGGCTGGCTGTCTGGGTGGGTTGCGGGTTGGCTGTTTGTTGGTTGGCTGGCTGGCTTGCCTGCTGGCTGGTTGGCTGACTGGCTGGCTCCCCTGACGGCAAGCTGGCCTTCTGTCTAGCTGGCTGTCTGGCTGGTTTTGCTGACCAGCTGGTTGTCCTGAGGCTGGCTTGGCTAGCTGGCTGGCTTGCTCCCCGGGTGGTTTGCTGGTTGGTTGCCTACATGTAGCTGGCTTTCTCCCCGGTTGGCTGACTAACTGACTGGCTTATGGGGAGGCTGGCTGGTTGTAGACTGGATTGTTTGCTGACTGGCTTGTAACTTGACTAGCTACCGATACAGGCTCATTATCCAATTTTTCTTGCTGTTTTGTCCGGCTTGTGTCTGCTACTCTGCTTGTACATCAGGCTATTTGGATTTTGTCTGCCCAACATTGATTTAGTCATGGAGCTTTAAGAAGGGTTAGCTCCATGATTTAGTGAACGTGTATATTAATATATGATTAGGTGGAATTAAGAATTTGGCAGCCTAGTGGTAAAGTAGAAGTAAATGGTCAATCGTTAATTGCTAGTACATTCTGAGGTTTTGATGTTATTTTTATGCCATCTTCTTCTTGCTTCTGTTCTCTAATTGATTTCTATCCGTCTTCTTGTTCAGTTTCATCCCATTGTTGACCTTGTTTATACTGCTGATACCCTGCATACTCATTTGTCTGCTAAGTTGGAGTTACCATTGTGTGAAATCAGTAAGCCAAACACTCCTTGCCACCTTACCTCAGGTTTTTGGTTATCAAATTACCGTCAAAATATGAGATGCATGAAAGGGCCTTCTCCTGATAAATTCTACAACAATAGGATTCTTAGATTCCTGAAGAACAATAGCAGTGCACCGGCACACTGGTACACACGCTGTACATGAAAATGCGGCACTGCTCTTCAACTCAATAAGACAGATGAAAGGGTGTTCAAAGGAAAGCTACTTCATCAGTTCTTAGGTTGCTTCATGTGGCTGTGTGTACCACTACCCCCTCCAGTGGTGAAAGGGCACCAGTATCAATGTATCCATTGGTGGCCATTCATGAAGACGGTTACTGCTCATGCCAATGTTGGCAAACGTCATACTATTAAAAGTTGTTGATTGTTCTACATTCAATCAGAAAAGTAATTGTACTGTTTAAATAGTGTTGGAATTTCATCCACTAACATGTTTAAAGCTGGTATATGTATGCTTTTTGGGTGTGGCACCCCGAAAAATAGATTTTCAAATTGAATTGATAATTTTCTGGCATTACATTAGTTATGAGCTTTCCAATGAGACATCGAACAAACAAATCTGCCCACAATAAGTAATGAATAGACGGAAGTAATTTATTTGTTAGGCCAAAAAAAAAAACAAGTCGGTCTCTGGTCAGCGCGCAAAAAAAACAACAAGTCAGTCGCTGGTCAGCGCGCGTCGATTTTAATCATGCGCGTCAATCTTTTTTTTTCAAATTGTTTTGCGGTAGCTCCAACAGCGCCCTCTATTGCCGCACCTCCTCAATTTTTTTTACCAAAGAGCACCAAGGAATGGGAAATTGCACCAAGGCAAATGATCGAGAGCACCAAGGCAAATTATGGAGGACACCAATGTACATGAGGACACCAAAAAAGCAAAATAGTACCCCACCTTGTCTGTACAATCCCAATGTACATGAGGACACCAAAAAAGCAAAATAGTACCCCACCTTGTCTGTACAATCCAAGCTTGAAGAAAAAAAAAAAAAAAGCCGCGTCCCCGCGTCAATTCCGGAACTTTGGTCTGACCAGAGACCGAAAAAATTTGTTT